CTATAATATTATAAAACAATAGCCCAATACCATGTAGTACTTTAGAACGCGACTGTACCCACACTCACTCCGCTGTCGACCTGTATCTAGCTCGGTATGAAACAATACTGCGGTCATAAGAAAAAAGGGCGCATCTAACAATTTTCGAATAAATGAGTTAAATATACCATTCGACTCATGATAAGAAGACGCATCTACTAAATTTTTTTAATATTCACTAATATCAATATTTTAGAAATTATCGTCAGAATTTTAGACGTAGCTGTTGATCACAGATGACATTTTATTAGTAGAAAAGACTTATACAAATTCAACATAAAAGAAAAGACTTATTTAACCAGTTGCTACGTCATCTTTAACAATATTTGCATCGATTACTTAAATTTAAATTATTCTTGTCTTATTATTTTATATCTTATTATTAAGAGCTTATATCTTATTATTAAGAGCTGGTGTTTCACATGTGGTCCCATATAAATTTGATCGAGGTCAGACCAATAGTTTTTGAGTTATCCTTAATTATTTATATTAAAGTCGGTTGTACAAATGTTTTAATTTTTAATTATTATCGTAGTAAGTCTTGTATGATATCCCCTTTAAAATCATTACTCAAGAGTTGCGGGTTGTTATTTTTTGTGTCTCACTACCAATGCTTTTCTAATATTTACTAAGACAAAAGTAGTAAATTACTATTAGCGTCCTCTCAACTTCAAATGACCTTTCCAAAATATGTAAAAATGTTAAATGAATGGTAGTTTTGTTTTATTTATTAGGTTGGGAAGACCCAAATAGTTATATGCGTCTTTCCTTCGATGTTTTTGTGTTGCCAGGTGTATTTTTTAATCTAAGATGAAAAGGAAAATTCGTTTTATTTAAATAAATAAACAAATTTAAAAAAAAATAAGTTCGTCCTTAAAATCTTCATGTCTCTACGTATATATTTCAATATAGATACCTTTTAATATACTTTAGACACGGGGTCTGAAAGAAAAATTCATCAATTTATTTTTTATTTCCATTTTACGTTTTTGTTAGTTACTTCCTTTTTTATTATGACGGCAGAATGCCTAACCCTGTCGCCTCACGCTTGTGACGCAGTTCGTTTGTTTTAGTTTTTGAGACAGTTCCGTGTTGATTTTGTACACGCGTGCGCGAGCGACAGTTCAATCGTTTTGTTTAATAAATTTACTTGTGATTACGTGTTGATATTAAAGTTTTTGTTACGTTTTTGGATTCTTTTTTGTTTTAATAATGCCTAACGCGTACGTTTATAGTGGTTATTATACTGCCGTTGGTTATTATATCAGCAACAACGTGTGCCTGGTTCCATTGAGCACATTATCTGGACGGATGAGTCGACATTTACCAGAAACGGCCTGTGGAACCGAAGAAATACACACGTGTATTCAGAGGTTAACCCGCACGCTGTTCGACAAACCGGGCACCAAACCCGATGGTCGGTTAACGTATGGACAGGTTTATTTAAGGATCGCATACTGGGACCAGTGTTTCTGCCAGAGCGACTGAACGGACAGCGATACCTAAACTTTATAAATGAACAGTTGGTTGACATTTTAAACGACCTATCGTTGGCTGAATATCGCCGCACATAGTTCCAACATGATGGTGCCCCTCCACATTTCGTGAGGTTCGTCCGTGAGCGCCTCAATGAGCTATTTGATGATCGCTGGATCGGCAGACTAGGACCACACGCTTGCCCACCTCGCTCACCAGATCTGACTCCGTTAGACTTCTTTTTGTGGGGTATGTGAAAGAAAGGGTTTTTAATCGTGAATGTGATAGTGCTGAAGAAATGCGCCAAAGGATCGTGGATGCTTTCGAGAAACTACGTACGGACTGTGTCGAAGACCACACGATGATGCCCCGCCTGCACCCAAGTCTGCCTTGAAATGAATGGAGCACAATTTGAGCCGCATCTCATAAGAACACGGAGGATTTAGAGCAGTAAGCTGTTTTATAACTATTTTTTTTTAAATAACTTAGTACTAGACTAATCTGAATAGGTACATAACTGAATACACGAGAATAATAAACATACCTACACGATGAATAAAAACGCATGACTCCAACCTTGGTTACATTTCATTTAAGTATTTCTTCATTAGCGGGGAATCGAACCAGTTATTTGGGTTATTTAACCTGTAAATTCGGATTAAAGTGGCTACGTGGAGATAAGCACAGTGGCAAAATAGTAGGTTAAGTAGATAAGTTAGGTATTTAGACACGTGTTGTAAATTATTAGGTATTGTGGGAAGGCCCGCTAGTTGCGGGCCGCGCGAATTTGTGTTCGCGCGTACATTGACCTTTATCTAGCTCAGGTCAGGTGATATCAATTCAGTCATTCCACTGCTGGTTTTATGTTTCAGTATTTTCATGATATTTTTTATGAAATTATCGTTTCATTTAGCTGTACTAACATGATGGCGCGTGAATAAAGCTAATAAAACCTTGTAAAAAGATGATTTTTTTTTTCATCAGGATCGAATTTATTTGTGACCCATGATCAAAGGTATACTTGGTGTTGTCGCCTGTCTTAGTTTTCGGGAGCGTTCCAAAAACACCCTGTATACCACATAAAAACTATAGAGTAGTCTTCAATTCAAAAAAGACAAAGGCGGCCTTCGTTATCCTTCCCGGGATTTACTAAACTTAAGTATGTGTTGCAGCAGAAGTCCACAGAAAAACTTTTATGTATAAAAACACGGAATGCATGAAAACATGTATAAGCCGCAATTTATTTGCAGAAGTATCACACGATATTTCCATTTTAACCAATCATTACCCGTTATTGATTAACACTATAATTATGTAAAAATATTTAAATGTTTGCACGCACGTTGACATTATGTGACGAAATCAATAATTGTAAAGATGGTTTATTTTCTAATATGAATTGTTTTATTTTCTAATTATCACTGCCATTATTTAAAATAATATGTACTTCATCATTTTTGCTTCGATTGAAGAACAAGTACGTGTGGATTGCCGTAGAACATCCGATTTTTTTATACTGCATATTTTCATCATATAACATCAGGTTTAAACTTATTTATATCAATGTCAAAGCTGTAAATGTAGCTTATTAAGCTCCCATAAAAAATAATAGGTACTTAAAAGTAACAGTCAATATAAAAAAAAATATTAATTTTTTTTAATTTCAATTTATATTGGATCACTATAAAATATAACGTTATTTTTCAAAGTGATCAGACACTTATTCATAAAATTGAAACAGACATATAAAACATGATGAGTTCCATTTTTAGTTGCTTTATGAAGATAAATTATATAAAAACTACTCCGCTTCAGTCAATAGATCCAAGTTCAAGAATGCATTTCCTTCCTATACAAAACATGTACCTGGGCACAAACGTAGCAATTACATTGGAATCATTAAAAGATAATGTTCTAATGAGATCTAAAATTGAAGATCAATCATTTTTGATCAAGCTGAGTAACCACATTCTGCAAAGACTGCCTGTACAAGATAATTTTTTACAGGATTTGTCGTTCATCGATCCCCAAAAAGCAGTGTATGGTGAATTTAGAACTCTGATAAGAATACTCCAAAGGTTTCCTAACTAAGATGCAACAGAAAACATGCAAATTGTTAACAATGAATATAAGGAATTAAAATTAGATATTTCCGTGTCTAATTTATTGTCAACTTCTAGTTCGACGACTGAAACTTTTATGGTGAATAAATTTTGGAGTGAAGTCAGCCAAATCTGTGATGATAATAGCAAACAAAAGTATGGCAAAATTGGCAAAATGACGATACAACCTTTGTCAAACGCCAAAGTAGAAAGAATATTTTCCGATATTAATAGGATTAAAAATCAAGATCGAAATCGATTTAATAATAAAAATCTTACTGCAATAATGCATGGAAAAGAGGGGCTACGACAGTTGGAAGGAGGATATAGCAGATTTGATCCTGAAGGATGATTAAGTCAATGGACTCAAAACAGCTTTATGACAATGTTACCCAACATAAAGGCGAAGAATCTTAACTTTATGTTTCATTTTATTATTATTTTTTTATTATATTTTTATTTAGAATTTAATTAAAAAAAACCACATTGGTTTCCTTAATTAATGGTGGTTTCTTTGTTATTTATATTATTTTATCGTTAAATCAAGAAAATATTCATGTTTTTACGTTGTAACACAGCAAAAATATATAATGGATTTTTAGTATTTTCTCGTTCTCTTTTGGAAGAATTTAGTAGTTTTTAAGCAGTAGATTCGTCGAATGAAATCTGGTCACACTTTTCTCTGTCTACGGCTGCTATTAGTATTGGGAATGCCGTGTTTTACGCAAATTAGACCGAACTAATATATCTGGGTAGCCAGAGAGAACAGATCGCCAAGTGTCACGATCCTTACATACCTCTTTCGCTTCTTTCAGATTCATTATCTTCTTCATACATGCACGTCTAGGTATCCGAGTACTCTTGACCCTACCCTCTTCGAGCAATTTGCTCACATGGTCTTCGAAAGTTAGTCTCGGTCTACCTCGACACCTTTTAATATTAACTTTCGCGCTATATATTTTCTTCACCATTCGGTCTTCACTCATTCGCTCAACGTGCCCAAACCACCGAAGCACGCCCTTATCAATTTTTGTGATAAGGTCATCTTTCAAACCTGCCATATTGCGAATCTCTTCGTTTCGCTTTCGGTCGGCCATGGTAACGCCGCACATTTTACGAAGAGATCGCATCTCCACTGCATTCAAAGCTATGACTTTCGTTATCGACGATCTGCTGGGTAAGGACGTCTTGAAAACCTCCAGAATACCTTCGCAATGAGATGCAGTATGATATAATATCAATATACTACTGTCTTAGAATTTTGTGAATGACGGCAGAATAGGCTGTGTGTTCATAGATCTTTACCTTTAAATAAAAACGACACCAATAATTTTACTTTTTGGTTGGGTTGGGTTTGAGTTTGATTTGATGTATTTGATTCGTAGACTATGGTTTGATTTGATTTTGAGTGTTGTGTGAGTGATTTTGCGTGATGTTTTAAGTGTGTTGTTTATTTATTTTTGTTTTATTTTAATAGAAGAATCGGTGAGTATTTTTTTAATTACAATTTCATATAAAGTTGGCGTCGGCGAAGTAAACCGAAAGTGGCAAATTAAACATTAAAGTGGTAAGTGATCATTTCGTGTGGATGGTTCTTAGAGGCGTTATTAAGAGTTGCTTCTTTTGCTATAGAAGGCATTGAACTAACCGAATGTTTTCATAGTTTCGCTGACTGGTCACATAATTGGAACTAAAGACTAGAAATGAGTTTGGGGTTGAAGCGAACTTTAGGCCTAGTGAGTTTGAATAGCCAGCCTATCATGTAGAGGATGTCATGGGGGTCATGGTTGGATAGGGTCAAAAAGTTCTCATTACACTCCTAGGGGGTCAAATGGCCAAAAACCAAAAAATTGGGGGGTGGCTCGAACTTTAGGCATAGTCAGTTTGAATAGCCTATCATGTAGATGAAGTCATGGGGGTAAAGGTTGAATAGGGGCAAAAAGTTCTCATTACACTCCTAGGGGGTCAAAATGGCCAAAAACTTAAAAAAATTAAAATTCTTATTTCAACTATAACTCCATCTCCTTCGGAGATTCTTACACTGTCTTAACTTCCCGCATCCCACTTTTTCGATATCTACTTGTATTATATGCGCGTTTTAAAAATTTCGGAAATAATATGTACGATTATCTAATGTTCTTCTTTTTGAAATTTTTGACTGCCTAATTGGTAGTGATAGAAACTGCAACTGCTAATCATGTGGCGGGACCATATTACCGACCGGGTTCGGATCCCGGATAGAGAAAAGATCAGTTTTTGGGGTTTTCTGTTAAGAAATTTTAATAGCAGCCCGGTGTCACAAAGTAGGCGGTGTTTAACCTCAATGCCTCAAAAGCACATAAAGCTGTTGATGTTGGCCATGCGTCTGATCTGACCTCTCCAGTTGTGTCGGATTGCTATCCTTTTGTACCAAACGAGTGTGGGAATAGATGGTGCATCTGTGCCTGTCCGCTCACTCATGCACTTTAACTGTCATGCGCAGATGGCTAGTCAACATAGAGACACCAGTTTTTTCAGTTTGGACAAATGTTTCGACTATTGTTTTGTGCAAGTCACATAATGAGTTTAAAGTACAAGCCACCTTCACTGAACTAAGTGTTAGTGATATATGGGCTGGTTCAGCAACTCGTCTAAGTGCATATTTTACGTGTGGCAAGAAATAATGCTAATTGAGCCACCCAAGCTCCTCAAACAATCCTAGCAGCTTTCTTACGTTGCCTAAAAACTTGGAGAGCAACCGCAGTGCATCAAGGTACCTAGCTCTGTTACAGGTGACCAAAGACCACTCCAGTAGGATGTGAGCAGTCATCTTGTCACACTTTAGGCAGGGATTGTACAGCAAACTGTCCGTGACATAGTTGTAGCTAACATGTGTCCACTAAACTAAAATGAATAAAATAATTTTCACGTAAAAGCTTTAGAAGTTTTTATAAAGTCTTATTTCTTGTCCCTTATGAGTGGATTAAGAAATATTATATGATCAATGTGGTTGCAGGCCTGCTGTACACCTTATTTAATTTGTGTTGGGAACTGAAGCGGGTACCGGAAGACTGGTGCAAAGCCGTTATAGTCCCAATATATAAGGGAAAGGGGTCGCAGCAGGACTGTAAAAACTACCGTGGTATCAGCTTGCTTAGCATTGTGGGTAAACTGTATGCTAAGGTGTTAATTGAAAGAGGTATGGGAGAAACTGATGGAAAAATTTGGGATTTGCAAGCTGGATTTAGAAAGGGGATGGGGTGTACGGATCAAGTCTTTTCCATGCGCATGATAGCGGAGAAGTTTTTGGCCAAAAACCAGAAAGTTTTTTGTGCGTTCATGGACTTGGAAAAGGCTTATGATAGAGTGGACAGGAATGTGTTATGGCAAACACTGAACTCATTTGGGTTGAGCGCTGGCTTGATACAGGCATTAAGGTCTCTTTATAGGGACTCTAGTGCTTGTGTCAGGATCAACGGGGTCTACTCGGACTAGTTTGGCATTCATGAAGGTGTCAGACAGGGATGTGTGGCTTCCCCGTGGCTGTTTAACCTATTTATGGACAGTTGTTTGCAAACTTTGAAAGTTGAAGAATGTGGGTTGAGAATGGGTGAGTCAACCGTCAAATGCCTTTTGTACGCCGATGATCAAGTCATATTTGCATCGTCGGCGGCCGAGTTGCAAATGATGGTTACTTTAATGAATTGGTCATTGAAAGAAAGGGGTATGAAAGTGAACGCAAGTAAGACGAAAGTGATGGTTTTTGAAAGAGAAGAAAGTAAAACTTTATGTGAAATAAGAATAGAAGGGGAGTTGATTGAGCAAGTGGATGAGTTTGTATATTTGGGATGTTTATTTAGCAGGGATGGTAGATATGACAAGGATATAGAACGACGAGTGAACACAGGAAATAGAGTGAATGGGGCTCTACACGCTATTATGAGGAGTCAGAATGTGTCAACTAAGGCACGTATGGCAATTCATAATGCTGTGTTAGTTCCTACTTTAATGTATGGTAGTGAAAGTTGGGTGTGGCAGAAGAAGCATGAGAGTAGAATAAATGCTGTAGAAATGCGGTCCTTAAGGAGTATGCTAGGGCTGAATCTGAATGACAGGGTGAGAAATAGTGTGATAAGACAAAAGTGTGGTTTGCAAGATGACGTTGTGACAAGGATTAAGAAAGGAATGCTTCGGTGGTTTGTTCATGTAGAAAGAATGAACGAGGAAAGAGTGACAAAGCAAATTTATGTTGCAGAAGTGAACGGCAGGGTCGGGAAGGGACGCCCTAGACGAAGGTTTATCGACCAAATCGGCGATACATTAAAAATGGGCCAGATTAGGAGTACCTTTAACCGACGAGCGTGTATGCGTAGATATATGGATGTAAAAGAGGCGAGAGAGGTGTGTCAGGATCGCGGCAAATGGAAGTCCGTAGTTTCTGCCTACCCCTCTGGGTGACAGGCGTGAGTGTTTATGTTTTTTATATATGTTGTTTTTTATATGATCAAGTTACCTAGAATGTCCTATTGAAATTTATATTAAAGAGTTTATCTTCTATTTTCCACCCTTTGGTGGTAAATTATTTGTTTATTTATATGGAACCATTCCTGAACCTTCTTAAGAGAAGAATCATTAAAATAACTTAAAAATTGTCTATGATATCTTATAACATACAAACAAGAACTTACAGTTCATTTGAAAACCTCCTTTATTAAAGTCAGCTAAAAAGACAAAAATATCTATCTAAAATACTTTTAAGTTAAAAAATATGCTACAGTACAAAAAAACATTTTACAACTTTCATTCAACTAAAATATACACTCTAAATAAACATTTAAAATATAATGCAATTAAAAATATACATACATATGTATATGATTTTTAAGTTTCCGTACCTCAATAGGAAAAAACCGAACCCTTATAGGATCACTTTGTTGTCCGTCTGTCTGTCTGTCAAGACCCTTTTTCTCAGAAACGTGGGGAGGTTTCAAGTTGAAATTCATATCAAATACTCAAGTATACTGTCCCTTGGAGCTGTGAAAAAATTGAACTTCTAAGCCAACACAATCAAAAGATACAGCCGTTTATGCCACAAATTTTCGACATTCGCAAGGGAATCAAAACCTACACTTCCCGTGAACTCAGAATCTTAAAATTTGGTACGAAGCAACATATTATAGCATAAATAAAGGAAAAATTGCGAAAAGCATAAATTTTTAGTTACATCATATAATAAAAATATTTTTAATAATTTTAAACTTATATACCTACGAATTTGTTCAGAACCCTCGGTGCGCGAGTCCGACTCACACTTGGCTGGTTTTTTTTATCCATTACTAAGGTCTGCAACACCTTGGAAGTGTAAATAATTCAAGTTTTTAAGTCAAGACACTTAAGAGATGTCGCAAGACATAACACATATTTTCCAGTCTTCCTTGCAAACTTACTAATAATAAAATATAGCGTAAATAATAAATATTAGGATGCGTTCTGTTGACCTAGAATCATGAAATTGTGCAAGAAGCAAGTCTCACAGCAAATAATTCAAAAATTGTTAATTTGTAGTTATATATATCACATTAAAAAAAATTGTGTGAGTGTCAACCAAAAACACAGACTAATGTATGGGTGAAAATTTTTTGTACTGCTTAGTTAAGTTCAGTCCTATTTACCTTTTGTTAAAGTAATTTTTGGTGGTTACTTACCCAATACTCCCAGGTCCAATGAAGGTTGACCTATCTACATACATGATTAGTATTTTGAAAAGTGTTTGATACTTCTTCTTGTTGGTTAGATTTATTGTGTTCTGGTTTACACCTAGCTTGTTAGATCTCTTGCATATTATCTGAAGAAATGTAGTTTTGAATCTTAACCGTACACTTATTCTGAAATTGTCCCTTTAGCATTTATGTTAATGATTTATAATTTTCCTACAGTTGTTAAGAAGGGCAGTGATTGCTATTTATGAACAATGGCTGATGGACCATGATCCATAAGCACAATGAAATTTACTATTCACAGAATTTGAAGAATCAAAAAAAATTGATACATTTTTATTATTTTTTAAAAAATGTTACTCGCTCTCTAGGATTTTCTCCTGTATCATGGCGGTAGTTTACATACATACATTTCACAAGGATAGATATCCACTTCCTAAGCCCATGAGCACCATGCAGCCGTCAAATTTGTTATTCAAAACTATAGTATGTCTGTATGATGAGCTATTTGTATAAAGAATTATCATCCCAGTTTGAAGACTCCTGGTTTTGATCATCAGTAGCACAAGAAACTACTAATAGATTTGTTTCCAATATATCTTTAAAATATCTATCTAGAAACTAATTGCATAATATGTGTGTACATATAAGTAGTTTTATTTATTACTATAGAGTATAAACATCTACCCTTACAGCTTACAGGACTTTTCCATTCTAAACTAAATCATCTAAAAACTAAACCATACATCTAAACAAATAAATAAAATGAAAGTGTCTGTTTGTAATGCC